TGCTCATTCCACTGCGATATCTAGGAAGGTGGGCCGAAGGCATTTTGATCTCCAAACTTCGAACTCAGTCAACATACGTCTGGCTGCCGTCATAGATAGCCTCCAAGTCTCCCTTCTTGGCCACTAGAGGATAGCTTCATGATCGTAGTAACCGGAAGTGTATTATTGAACACAGGGTCTAGACCAATGGTGTACCGACACCCGGAGCCAGGATATCGGAGTTGACTGATGTGCCCGGAAACGGAACGGAACATGTACTACATCATTACATGTATGTACTGGAGCGTACATGTACAGTACCGTACTACCAAGAGTATATACCCCCCCCCCCCCCGATACACTCTTGCCCCCCCCCCCCCCGATACACTCTTGGTACTACTGGTAGACATGTATCCAGCTTCGAAGAGAAAAAGGCAAAACGAAGTAAAGAAAATGAAGTTGACCGTAATGCATTATAGCTGACTTGCATGCGATTTCACGTGATTATACATGTACAAAGTTTCTTTCAAGTAAGTTCCCCTCTGCTAAATAAACTAACTTGGTCAGTAGACCATGCATGGCAGACGGTTGCTGTGTGCCTGCTATAGCGTTGCTTCTACTATTTGTTTAATCTAATATCATACATGTCTAATATCATACATGTCGCTACGTAGCAGCGCTGTTGTTTTCTGTAGTGTACTTGTAGTACAATGTACATGTATGATTATTGATTGTTGTTGTTGTTGTTGTTGTTGTTGTTGTTGTTGTTGTTGTTGTTGTTGTTGTTGTTGTTGTTGTTGTTGTTGTTGTTGTTGTTGTTGTTGTTGTTGTTGTTGTTGTTGTTGTTGTTGTTGTTGTTGTTGTTGTTGTTGTTGTTGTTGTTGTTGTTGTTGTTGTTGTTGTTGTTGTTGTTGTTGTTGTTGTTGTTGTTGTTGTTGTTGTTGTTGTTGTTGTTGTTGTTGTTGTTGTTGTTGTTGTTGTTGTTGTTGTTGTTGTTGTTGTTGTTGTTGTTGTTGTTGTTGTTGTTGTTGTTGTTGTTGTTGTTGTTGTTGTTGTTGTTGTTGTTGTTGTTGTTGTTGTTGTTGTTGTTGTTGTTGTTGTTGTTGTTGTTGTTGTTGTTGTTGTTGTTGTTGTTGTTGTTGTTGTTGTTGTTGTTGTTGTTGTTGTTGTTGTTGTTGTTGTTGTTGTTGTTGTTGTTGTTGTTGTTGTTGTTGTTGTTGTTGTTGTTGTTGTTGTTGTTGTTGTTGTTGTTGTTGTTGTTGTTGTTGTTGTTGTTGTTGTTGTTGTTGTTGTTGTTGTTGTTGTTGTTGTTGTTGTTGTTGTTGTTGTTGTTGTTGTTGTTGTTGTTGTTGTTGTTGTTGTTGTTGTTGTTGTTGTTGTTGTTGTTGTTGTTGTTGTTGTTGTTGTTGTTGTTGTTGTTGTTGTTGTTGTTGTTGTTGTTGTTGTTGTTGTTGTTGTTGTTGTTGTTGTTGTTGTTGTTGTTGTTGTTGTTGTTGTTGTTGTTGTTGTTGTTGTTGTTGTTGTTGTTGTTGTTGTTGTTGTTGTTGTTGTTGTTGTTGTTGTTGTTGTTGTTGTTGTTGTTGTTGTTGTTGTTGTTGTTGTTGTTGTTGTTGTTGTTGTTGTTGTTGTTGTTGTTGTTGTTGTTGTTGTTGTTGTTGTTGTTGTTGTTGTTGTTGTTGTTGTTGTTGTTGTTGTTGTTGTTGTTGTTGTTGTTGTTGTTGTTGTTGTTGTTGTTGTTGTTGTTGTTGTTGTTGTTGTTGTTGTTGTTGTTGTTGTTGTTGTTGTTGTTGTTGTTGTTGTTGTTGTTGTTGTTGTTGTTGTTGTTGTTGTTGTTGTTGTTGTTGTTGTTGTTGTTGTTGTTGTTGTTGTTGTTGTTGTTGTTGTTGTTGTTGTTGTTGTTGTTGTTGTTGTTGTTGTTGTTGTTGTTGTTGTTGTTGTTGTTGTTGTTGTTGTTGTTGTTGTTGTTGTTGTTGTTGTTGTTGTTGTTGTTGTTGTTGTTGTTGTTGTTGTTGTTGTTGTTGTTGTTGTTGTTGTTGTTGTTGTTGTTGTTGTTGTTGTTGTTGTTGTTGTTGTTGTTGTTGTTGTTGTTGTTGTTGTTGTTGTTGTTGTTGTTGTTGTTGTTGTTGTTGTTGTTGTTGTTGTTGTTGTTGTTGTTGTTGTTGTTGTTGTTGTTGTTGTTGTTGTTGTTGTTGTTGTTGTTTCAAATCTTTATTCTCACGATAGCCAGTGGCCAATAAGTATCTAATATTGACTGAGTACGAGGTCAATATAGGAAATAAAAGCCGAGTAAAAGACCGAGGCGAAGCCGAGGTCTTTTACGAGGTTTTTATTTCCTATACTGACCAAGTACGAAGTCAATATTAGATTTATCACGACAAACAGTCCGTATTTCAAATTCCAGAACGATAACCTCATGAATCCCGGTTTTATGATTGCACAACCGTTGCACCACCACCTACTCATGCAGTGACAATGCTGTACTAGGCACCGTTCAACTGCGCAACCCCTAAGCAGTCAAATACAAGCAGTCAATATAGCCCTAAGGAGTGAAATATGCAGGAATATTTGACTGCTTAGGTATGGCAAAAATCTATGTGAGTCAATACTAAGGGAGTGATAAGAGATAATAGTGTAAGAAAGGAGAAAGAGTGAGGAAGAATTGGGTGGGCAGGGCCTAGGGGTTAAACTTAAGTGTACGGGTAGGGGTAGTCGCTACACGAGCATACAGAGTTGTGCAACAGCAGGGATATCTGGGATTTGAAGAGAGTACGAGAAGGGATTTCGCGAAGCTGGGGGGCAAGCAATTAAAGTAATGAAGGGCCTTGTACAGGGCCGAATAGAGACAGCGATCAGTCCGCGGAGTTGGCAAGTGCCAAGTACGAGAGCGACGTAAATTATGCGAAGGTTGTACGCTGCTAGCAGTATGCAGCGAGAGTATATGCGGTGGGGCATAATTGTGGCGCAGAGAATGCGCGAAGAGTATATGTTTATTAAAGCGTGAAAATAATGTTGGCCATTGTTTGAATTCTTTATTCTCACGATGGCACCATCGCTAATAAGAGATAAATTCATGAGAAGGTGAGATTGTGGGTTATGCAGTTGGAAAGTGATTTACACCACTTTGAGTTTCACAAGTATGGGAGAGGGTGAGCGCTGCAGGAGCAGATTGAGTTAAATCAGCAGTGAGCAGATTTCTTGTTTGAAAGCAGGTCGGGAGGAGACGTCACGAGTGCTAGCAGGGAGGGCATTGTAGTATTCTAGGGACTTGTACAGTGGTGCTGTTGATGTTGTTATTGTTGTTGTTGTTGGTTTTATTTTAATTCGCAGTGACCAAACGAGCAGAGGTGATCAATAACAAGGAAGCAAATGAACGTGCCAAGAAGTACCAGGGGACTTAAAAGCAGAACATTTTAGATAATAGGGAAGGGGCAGGTGGAACTTGGTCCGAAATGGACACTGAGAGCGCTGGTACCAAGGGACAAACATTTAGGAGAGAAATATTTCAGGGGCCGGGGGATCATCGAGTGCCATGAAAAGCACATGCCACCAGTAAGAAAGCTCGGCGTCTTGTATAAATGCTCACATAAGAGGCCGGCTTCCAGCCTTCCGGCCAGGCATAGGAACAGAAGACAGAGAGACAGACAGCCCAGTTAATTTAACAGAGTAGCGGGCAGACCATTGAAAATACAGATACATGCATGAGAGGAAGGCTAGAACACAAGGCAGGGGAAGGAGACAAACAGTACGATGCCGAGGAGAGACAGTCCGACAAGGAACAAGAGAGAGTTCGTGTGTGTATGTCACTATGTGAGGTGATGCAAAAGACAGAGGGACAGCTGATAGCGGCTCTAACAATCCTCGCTGCGAGTGGGAATGGTGCATGTGATATTTTCGATCATCGTAATCATGGTAATGCAACGATCATTATCTGATGCTCTAACAGGTGATACTGGCACCATTTACGTGACGGTGGTGCCGCCCCTCATAACAAGTACGCGTCGTCCCTGCCACAATCCGACAGTCACGTGCACATGCATTCCGATAGTGTGTGCTCAGATAGTTTGCGGATTGTCCTGTATCCATGCAGCGCAGGATATGCCCATTGTGTGTCCTAGTAATACTCCTAGCAATGTACTACACACACATACATGTGCTCCTACTGGGTGTAGCCCTTGGCGGATAATGGCGGCAGAAAAATCTGCAGAATTTGGTACTTTTTCTGGTATGGTTCATGCATGTTGGCATGTTGGCATGTGGATAAGGAAATGGAGCAGAATTCAAGGAAGTGCCTGCCATAAGGTTTGTATGGTTCTGCCAATTTCACTGCTTTTCGAACAGAATCTGCCAATTTTTCGCTAGGACACATGCCACATATGCCACACACACACTCATGGTTAGCACTCTTCCGCGTTCCAATCGTGGCCTTTGCAGTTGGCTGCACATCGACTTGTTCTTTTCAGAACCATGATTACACTGTGCTGAACTCAGGACAAAGCCAGTCCTGTCACTTTCTGCGGTCGGGGCTGGACAGGTCGTGCATTTATGCGGCCTTAGCAACGTCGTGCTGATTGGTCGCCCCCGTGGCTGTGCGGCCACAAGGACGCCGAGGGCCGCACGGTCGCGGCCGCACGCGCTGGCGTGGCGTTGAACGCACCGCGCACACTGCCCATCGATTACATACCTAGCACATACAATGATACATGCAGGAGTAGTACTGCCTTTCCTCAGGTCCTGACTCCCTGAGATTCCAGCCATTTGCAGCTTTTGGCAGCATGCTGCTCATTCTTGGCGCGCTATTCATGCGCAGCGGCGCTGCTGATGGCGGCGCAACATGATATTGATGGAGCAGGGAGAAGCTGGCCTGTGTGAGCGCTCAACTCACCTCGGCTCTTATCTTCTCACCTGGCTGGACGACAAGTAACGGTAGAACCAGCACAGAAAACACGTACATTGATACGGCGAATCGGCGATGCTCTCTTTTCTTCGCAAACAACAACACCTCTCGTATTAGCTGCTACACTGACACTGCTATGTCAACGCACTGTCACCGACGATTGTCAATTGCAACCGGTGCTGCTTTACTGGCCTCATAGGCAGACTTTACTGAAGTTTACTGACTCCTTACTGACTGGCTCAAGTGCTGCAGTAGCATAATAGTGGCCCTGGCAGTTCTTGCTGTCGCTTCTTGTCTTGGTAGCTGTCCTAGGAGCGCCTCCTGTCCCTCATTCTGACTCTCAGGACCTGCTTGTGAGAGGTGAGTGACACAGCGATGGCGTTTCTTGGCCAGGGATTGATTCGTTTGTTTACATACATCAATTTTCTTTCGTGTCACTTTGGCCATTCGATTCGGACCTGTTCTGGACTTCTTGAGAGCGAGGTTGGACCGGCATGGAATGAGCGAATCTAGCCACCGCGTACCATCCGAGATGATTTTCTCTCACTGCCTTGTTCCCTAGTGATGGATTTGTTCTGTTCGTGTGCTTGTCGGCGCACGCGGTGTTTTCTGTGTGCTCCTCAGCCAGGATCAAGCGCTGACCGAACTCCCACCATCAACCCAACGGCCACCGAATTGACCAAGGTTCGTTGCTCATGGACGCAGGAAGGCACGGACATATTTCCGTAGCTTTTCCGCGCGTCTCTGCATGCTTGTTGCTCGGGGTAACATAAAAAAATGCCCGATGTGCATGTCTCTACTTTCCTACACGTGCATGGCATGCATTCAATGATTTACACGTGGCTTTACGAGTACGGTCACCGCGCTGCACGAGGTTTCGTTTGGTAAATGCAACATTGCAAGACCCGCAATGGCCGCTTGGTGAAGCCTTGTAACTGGCAATTTTCCGGTCCGCCTTCGAAGTTTCAAGGCTCAGATAGTGTTGGAGGTTTCCTGGGCTTAGCGCCCATACTACTTGGCACGTGGTTTTGGCGCCATATCGTATTCACTGACTGACTGACTGGTTGTCATTATTGAACAGAGTGTCATGCCCTTGCCAGGCACGCTCACTCACACACAGACAGACAGACAGACACACACAGACTAGAGACAGTAGAGTAGGGGCATAGAGTGGTGGGCTGGACCAGCCAGGCCAGTAGCATGGCCATGGGTCACTGATCAGCAAAGAAACCATGGATCAGGCTGGTCATGGGCAACTGTGAGGCTGGACCAGTTACATAGGGCTTGAAAGTGCTACGTCACAGTATAGCAACAATTTCAAAAATTCAAAAACTGGATCCACTTGGATCCAGTTTTTGTATGGATCCAAGCACTATTCAAGCGGTCTTACTCACAGCATGGTGATGTAGCCAGTGAAACTGACTGATTTGGCTACTGGGGGCGGGGTTACAACTGGTGGCGAAATAAAAGTCACAGCTGCATGCGACATGAGTGGGCTGCTATGCATCCACATACTGAGGCAATAGCAAAGTCACACCTTAGTGGATCCAAAATAGAAATCTGATGTCAACTTACTACTCCCTGGCCGTTTTGACGTCATCACTTTCAAGCCCTATTGCGCAAGTGGCTGACATGGGGAGTGCCAGTGATGATCCTGACAATACTGATCACAGCTTACACTCTGTGTGTGTGTGTGTGTGTGTGTGTGTGTGTGTGTGTGTGTGTGTGTGTGTGTGTGTGTGTGTGTGTGTGTGTGTGTGTGTGTGTGTCATGCAAACAGCTACAGGTATGGGTTGGGGATAGCTACCTCCCTGAAACAGCACAAGACTCAGGGCAGCGTGAACCCACTGTATTCTGTGATCAGTGCAGTATGCACCGTAAACGTCTTCGAACATCAGTTCATATTCACACTCACAATGCAAGATGAAGGTCTGCAGTTGCATCTGCAAGCAGGGTTGAGGACCCGCTGGGACTTGCAGACCAAAATGGACCTGTCTTTCTGTAAAAAATTCTGCACGCCTCCGTTTCCTGAAATCTGGAAATGAATCACGTGGTGGAGGTCATCGGGAATAGTAGTTTGGCTACTATACTCATCCGAATCAGACTACCAGAGTCTCGGGTTGACCGATGATGATACCGCTGTAGATTAGTGTGTGCCGTGGGTCAGGTGATTTGAGGGGAACCGAGGCGACTACACTTGGCACACTGCAAAATACCGCTGTTGTAGCACGACATGGCAGCGACACCATAGCATAGCTCAGTTTCAGAGCTTCGCTGGCTACAAGCAAAGGTCCCTGGTTTGAGTCCTGATGGTGGCGGTCAATTTTTCTTCAGATGTGTCCCGTTTTCAACTTCCTTGCCTAATGAATAGTTATAGCGTGATTGTAGGCAGGCACGTAGCCCGCATTGGGACACGGGTGGCACGTGCACCCCCTAAGGTTTTCGACCTAGGTTCAGCATGAACATAATGCCCATGAAGGATATGCACCAGCCATCCTACACTTATGTGGCTGTGTTACCCCCCCCCCCCGGCCCCCTAAACGGGGGGGGGGACCAGCTACACCCCTGTACGGATACACATGTCTGTGTGCATCGCGCGTCCTTCATCAGCATGTGTGTGTCTGCCCTGTCCTGCACTGCAGTTCTCAAGTAAACCAAGACGACGTGAAGCCAGTTGGAGATCTACTGGTATGTACATGAGTGTAGTATTGTTAATCTACATTTATGCATTAGTGACTGTGTGTCGGTGCTAATGTGGCTGTGTTGTGCATGATACGGTTTGCTATGGTTTGCATGCAACAGAAAGGACCGGGTGATATCAGCTTACTCACAATGGCGGCAAACGGCACGGGAACGACCAGTGCGACCATGGCAACCAGCACGCTGCACGGCATGAACACCTTGGCGCCGCTGCCCGTCAAGCCGGAGATGACGGCCGGAACGTCCGTCGTCACGTCGCCGTCCATGCCGGCGTTGTCGTCCGCAGCCGGCGCTGCCGCACCTGCACCAGCGCCCGCGGCAACGGCAACAGCAACTCTCACAACGTCGGCAACACCGGCCGCCGCGAATGCGGACACTAAGAGTAAAGGTATGCGACGACCGGACACGGGCCGTATGATTCTCCAGGAACACAGCTAGTGAAGCGAAAAAAAGAAAGTCACGTAATAACTTAGTACGGGATCGGCAGTGAATGCTGGGGTTAGATGGCTGTGCACTATTAGCAAGAGTACATAACCTCCCAGAGTGTGCAACGCCTGATCCAGCTCTGCATAGGGTCTTGGTCGAGCGCAATCGGATCTTTGCGTCATAATACCGTACACATCTGAGGGGAACCCGGGGAGTCGCGGGTACTCTCGGATCAAAAAAATGGTGACCTGCCTCGAGACCGGCCTTGTGCTGGTGTGGAGTGTACGCATGACATCAGAAGATCCGATTCCGCTCGACCAAGACCCTATGCAGTGCTGGATTGGCGTTGCACACTCTGGGGGGGGGGGTTATGTACTCTTGCTATTAGCTATCATTGTGGGAATCTCCACTGCTATAGAACAGGGTACAGTATGCACTTGGGCCTTAGCCCTTTGGACTCAGCCATGACAATTGGAGGTATTCTAAAAGGTAAATACCACACTGCACAAAGGCGACTGCCGAAGAGCAGGGCATCGATCGAATGAATCAGAGCTAGTATTCTCACACAGAAGTTGGTAAAGGTAAATACTGTTTTGTAAGCTAACATCACATTACGAGTCATACACTCCAAGAGCTCGCTGCTTCCTGCTTGTATATGTGCCAGGCGAAGCTTAGGGACATCCGAATGTACATTCTCCATGGCAATAGGATCCTAACCAATAGTTTCCTGTATTCTTATTTCTGTAAATCAGCAGGCAAGGAGAGTAAGAGCTCGTCCAAGGCTGCTGCTGCTGACGGCAATGGTGCTGCTGGAGCAACGGCGGAGGAGAAGAAGAAGAACAAACGCTGTATGTTCCAAAAAGACGTGGTCAAGACGCTCAAGCACTGGCTATCACAAAACTTCGAGGTATGAATAACTCTGTTTTACCCGTGTGCGTCCATTTCTTTTTGAGCTTCCCTGACATATCCAGGTATCAAGTACATGTATTTGTATTTTATATTTTTTTAAGTATTTATGGATTCTCCACAGGCCTTAGCCTAAATCGAGGGAGTCTCCGTATTTGTAGTTCTACTGTACCACTGGACATCTTCTCACGTGCCAGTGTGTTCTTATATTATGTTATCTGCATGCTCTGAACAGTCTCTTACTAGTCTTATTCTTTGAACGTGCTTTCTAGTTTTGACCGTTGTTTACGCATGCATTATGTGTGCTTGTGCGTGTGTGTGTTCATGCGTGTATGTGTGTGTGTGTGTGTGGGTGCGCGCATGCGTGCGTGTGTGGCATATACTGTGGTTGACCTTGTGCAGAATCCGTATCCAACTGAAGATGAGAAGAAACAACTGGCCAGCCACACTGGCCTCACACAACTACAAGTCAACAACTGGTACGTGGTACTAGTGAAGGTAGAGATCATTAATTTTAGTACTTGAAGTTTGTAGTGCACCTCACTGAGAAGTACCGATGGATGCAATAGGGGTCTGTGCTATCAGCCATTCGACAAGCAGACCATTCATATCATCTTGCTGCCCCTGGCAACTCCTGTATAGACTTTGGGGTCTGTCATGTACCCTGACTACAGTCCTGTTCCAGCATTGCATTGCTATCAATGCGTGCACCCTAACTACATATTTTGGCTGTGCGTTGTCTTCCGCAATGCGTGCACGTGCCCATACAGGTTTATCAATGCCCGTCGCCGTCTAGTGCAACCCCTCGTCGAGAAATATAATAAAGATCATCCGGGTGCAACACCGCTACCCAGCGTGCAGGATGCGCAGAAGAATCGCCGCCGGCGACAGGTCAACCGAGACCCGTCGCTCACGAGTCCGGCGAAGATGGGCAAGTTCGATGGCCTGAGCCCGGGATCGCACATCGCAATGCCCGGCATGGGCAGCCCGCAGGCGATGCAGAGCCCCCACGTTCCGCCTGGCCACGGTCCAATGCAAGTGGCCCAGGGTGGCATCGCCATGCAGTCGCCCAGCCAGTCCATGGCAGCACCGATGAACGCGTTCAATCCGCAGTTGCTCACCATGCAGCCGGCAATCTTCGCCGGCCAGCCACCAGCCGGCGCCATGAATGTACAACAAACCGGTAAGCAGCAGCCGGCCGTGTGCATAGCTTCAAGCTCTGCTGAATGTATGTACAGGGGAAGCACGTCATGTGGACACTAGTTAGTATGCAATATGCATACAGTACTGTCGATCGCCGAAGAACTGAGGGGTCAGCCACCTAGCCTAGATCGTTCCTATTTTCATGTTTTGCCGTCTATGCGCAGTTGAGTCACCATGTATACATTGGTATGCTGTGCTTGGTGAAATTTCTAGCCTCTTCATTCGCCGGTGCTACGTTCTTCGGCGATCGACAGTACTGTATGTACTACGTATGTGTGTGTGTGTGTGTGGTGCACAATCATCTTGTATGCTGCTACTGATGTCACTGCTCTTTCTTTTGCGGGTTACGTTTTGTTGAGCCAGTGTTGAAAATTAAAATAATAGATGTAGGGAGGGGTGGGCATGATGCCTGCAGCATGCCTACAACCTGTGTTTAGAGCTTTTGTTCGGAGGGCTGTTGCTCCAAGAGTCACCAAGACCCATCACCATTCTGGTCCAGTGCAGGGGTTTTCCCCCTGAACTAGATTGCTTCCCCTCATAAGTTCTGGTCCAAACACCGAAAACATGGAGTGACACGTGCCTTGCCCAAACCTCGACCCCAAGTCAGTAGCAGGTAGACTTGTTCCACTTGCCTTTTCCAGGCCTTCATCTGGAGACTCCCTCGATTTAGGTTAAGGCCTGTGGAGAATCCATAGATACAAATACGAAATACAAAAACTGCCTGTATTGGATTGTGCTACAGGTGATTTGACACTGATTTCCTCTTACTGTATATACACTCAGCTGTTGTCCTCTCTGCGGCAAGTTTCAGAAAATCTGCACATGTGGTACATGTACTGGCTAGAAAGGCTTGCTAGAAAAGCTTGCTAGAGTGAACAATGCCCAGCTGACCCTGGTAGTATACAGAGTTTCTGCAACACAATCTGTGCTGTTGGTAACTGGAGAGTTCACCATCTTGGAGTGCCTTCATTGTGTGCTTTGCTCGGCTTTCTGCAGCTTTCTGGGACCCAGCTCACTCCTATCTGCAACCGACGGCGATGTCTTTCTTGCCGACCGCCCAAGGTCAGGCCATCGACACTACCATGGGTCAAATGGTGCCCACCCACAGCTGGACACCCACGCCAACCAGTAACTATGGAAGCAAGATGAAGTAAACTGCGGACGGCGCATGATGTGAATACGTACGTGTCTTGGAGCCGATTCTGAACGTGTGATGATGTGGAACAACTAGGTGCGATGTAGAACTGCTGCGTGTTTGTGTCCGTGTGTCACAACAATCAGACATCTGTCACCTAGTGACGTGGCTTGTTGCATAATGTAGTTTGAGAACAGTCTTTGGCAGAACAACTGTACAGACGGTGTTGCAAATACGACGGAAGGTAATGATTCTTCAGTTGACCCGTAGTACTCCGGTACAGTGGGTCTAGCTCCTCTTCGTTCTTGTGAGTTTGGAGCCATGCATTCACGTGGATATAGGATTTTGGCCGTGCATTCAGTGACCAAGCCCTTCTTCGCCTTCGTCTTTTTGGGGTTGCACAAAGTTGACAAAGTATTTCCTATTCGTGACAGTTTGAAATTTCTATAATCTTTGCTGTGAGGCGTTTCTATTCTGAATATTTTTTTTCGTTCTTTTGTTCAGTTATCTCCCTTTTGTATTCCAGTCCATGAGGTAGGTACATGGAGTGGTTTTTAAGAGAACTTTATCTTTTCGTCAAAGGTGATTTCCTGTCCTTCACTATTATTTGTAAGAGTTCTACGTACTTCAGGGATGCAAGCCTGTGCCCCGTGTGCATCCTTGATTCTCTACAGATATAGTAGTTATTATCCGCGTCCCATATTATTATTATTATATTCTCCCCCCGCTGACTGCAGTGTTTTAAATTGTCAGAGAAGAGGATTGTTTTGCTGTGAATGTGATGTACATGTACATGTACTCGAAGTACACAGAAGGAAGAGTACGATTATAAACACAATTGCAGTATGACGCGTACAATGATGTGAACTTTATGAGAAATGACGAAGGAGATCTTTCGTCTCTGCTCGCCGATATGCGGAGAAACATTATGAGAACAAATTGGTGTGCTCTCAGGTCCCAGTATCTCCTCCGCATTGCCGAGGTCTTGGGGCAGTCTGATTCCCTGGGAGTATGTTTACAGTCACTGTCTGAACACTGTGACCAGGGAGTGGTAAGATACCAGCACTTTACTACTCCCTGACTGTGGCCATGTGAGCATGACTTATGGAGCAACAGAATCTATTTTCTATGCTACTAGGTTCGCTGACGGTTCTCTATGTTACTCTAGCTAAACTGAGGATCAGGAGTTCTCAACAAATAATTGACTGAATAGTACTCTCCTGAGATTGAGGAGCAACATACATGTGATCAAGAGTACATAACCACGGTTATGTACTCTTGATGCGATTAAAATAAATAAAAGAGGAGGGTTTTCATTTTCAATCTCCATCTTCCGTACATGGTTGCCCATTTGGGTGTTGAGCACTCTGTGCAACACATGAGCCGCTTCGAATACAGTAAATAAGGAGCATCAGTGTTGCTCCTTTGCTTGAATGCATTGGATGACAAGTCATTGAAAGGGCTTGTAGAATACTGGCAAACTGGTTGTAGTCAAGCGCTTGAAGTAAATAGTCTTGCTGAGTGTTATAATGAGATAGATCAGTTGTAATGAGCAAAATCATCTTTACCAGAAGTACAGTGTAAAATAGGACCCAGGGTCAGTACTTGGGCAGAGATTTTCCGGGTCGGATGAGAATTGTTGCTGCTCTCTAATGCAGACAGCAGCAGCAGCAACAGCGGCGGCAACAGCCACGTGTAGAATCAACAATACTAGATTGACAGTGACTGCTGCACCGTACTTGAGAGTGATGTGTGACAGTTACAACGTCTGACGACAGACGTGTGAGAGGCGAGGCAGGCAGGGATGTTACCAGCGTTGTCATTCCTGCATTCTCTCGGCAGCTGTTGTATTTAATGCCGTTCTCAGTGACGCGTGCGAACAGGCGTGCATACACTTCTAGACTGTCTTGCATGGCGCTTTGGGGAGGTGATCATCACGGACGGCGATGGACGATGTACTTGTAGTCGATGGTGACCTGTGCTATGCGAACCCGGCCGAAATGTCGGTGGCTTGACTGTTGCCGTTCCTCTCGTCCTTGCGGTTTGCCTGGACTTTAGAGCCGACCCGCTGCCATGGTTCCAGTGTGTGGTGTGCCCTCGCACGCTCAGCGTGCCCGGTGGAGAGACATCGGGTAATTGGACACCTGCAGCTAGCCTTGCCCTGTGCACCGCTCTCCCAGCTGCGGGCTGGTGACGGGATAAGGTACCCGCGCTCCTCTGTGATGACAGGAGATTAGTCTGCGACCGGAGTCGCATGTTCTCCGGATCACCAATCACTTCCCACCGTCCCAGGACGGTGTTGCTCTTGCTGCCGTTTAGCGAAACAACGCTCGGTCTACGCTGGGCAGCAGCAGCAGCAGCAGTCATGGCAGGCCTTTTCTGCACTGTACACCCACGCCCAGGTGGCACCGATGGGCCAGAAGGCCTTACCCGTGAGGCAGCACGTCGATTCAACTGTGGCTGTGCGTCTTCCAGGTCCAACTTGCTTGTTGTCCATTTGCTTGCACCGGCACCGTCAGCTCTCCCTCTTGCATCTTGACCGTGACGCTTTCTTCTGCGGTCACAGCAAAATAGTAGGACATATTTACATATGGGCAATGACAAGTGAGCAACCACTTTCTGGAGCAGTTTATAACTATATTAACTTTCAAAAAAGTGACCATTGAAACAAACAAGCATTCCATACATGGCATGCCACGCCACTTGAAGTAAACATCAATCAATTGACTGATCACACAGTAATCTCCAGAGGTTGTGTCCAGGCCATGTGTGTGTGTGTGGGGGGGGGGGGGGGCAGGTATTCATGGTCATGGTGCCCTGCAAAATCACTCTAGTCAGGCTGTTCTGCCACATTTGAACACACACACACACACACACACACACACACACACACACACCTTTTTTCTTTGAGTGTTGCTTGGAATAAACTTCCTGAAGATATTCGTTCACTCTCTACAACAGCGAAATTTAGTATTGCTGTTCGTCGGTATCATTCGCAATCTATGTTTTCTTTGAAAGGTATTCCTGACTTTTGTGTCTAGGCTAACCACATGTATGATAGTTTCAATAGTTTGTGTATATGTCAGTTATAGTAGTCCGCAATGCTGCTTTTCTAATTCTCATTATGATTAGCATGCAATGTACTACCCGAAGTACTGAATTTACTTATTTTGTACTCTTATTCTAGTGTATCCTCTACCTCTTCTCCCCTACGAACATACTTTCTCATTTTCCATACTTACTTAGGAGACTCCCTTCGATAGGCATCTATTTGCCTCTGGAGGATCCGTGAAATAAAAAAATCAATCAAAAAAATTAATCAAACACACACGCACACGCACACACACACACACACACACACACACACACACACACACACACACACACACACACACACTTGTACTTGCTCACTGCCAAAACTGGTCACGTGGGTCTCCCCGGGAGAGGGGAGAGAGACTCAAAAGGAATCTTGGAAAGATGACTCAATTGGCCATTGAACCGCCCAACGGCCGACACCCCCTGAAATCCCCAAACTAGGGTGGACTTGAAATGATCCCACTTATGGGCTCACCACACCTCAGTAAGTGCGGGTGAGGACAAGGTGCAGAAAAAGGATTGACGGCATCAGGGTATCCGTCCCGGGATCCAACTGCAGGTACCCCTGCCCTCAGTGAAGGTAATACTTGGTACTAGTGTGGGTGGCTAAATCAGAGTGGATCTGATAACAGCTTCACTAGCACCATTGATTACACAAGAGTTTATCTAGCCAGAAGTAGTCCATGGTTAACAGGTATGCATACTTCAAATAGAAAGTATATGAACCCTGAAACCAACAAAGGTGGTAGGTACAACAATACACCTTCAAGCAGCCGAGCCCGTTGGCAACAGGCCCAACACTATCTGGCATAAGTGTACCCACCAACCGAACTAGCTGGCACACACACACACACACGCACACACACACACACACACACACACACACGCACACTCACCCCTTTTCGCCATCTTGCACGCGCACTCTGCTGATGGCTGCTTCTAGTGTGTTCCTTAGCCTGTGCACGGTCATGGGTGGTGTGAGCTTGTTAAGCCGAGACCACGGGTTTTGACCCAGTAAATCCAGGATGGAGACACCCAGTGCTCGTCCAACCTGCAAGATCGTTAATGCGCCCAGCAATGTACAGAAACACCAGTATACACAACACGTTAGGAATGGGAAGTATTGCTTCTAGTATTCATGTTTACCAGTGGGTGCAAGTATTTTCTATAGTGACAACATCTAGCCTACAAACTTAGAGACTATAACCGAAATGTTTGGGGTCCGGAATCTCATACTTGAGCACTGCCCCTCCCCCCCCCCCCCACGAGGCTGTGGAAAAAGAGTATGCAGCTTTCCTCAGGTTCCTCCTCTGGCTCCAAAGCCTATCGAATGGCGAATTGCACTGTCTGTGTCACTCAGTCTAAGTCATGACGCCTGGAGAGGGGACTATTCTGCTGCAATCGAGTCAGAGTGTCTCGTGTTTCATGATCATCGGGCTTCAAGCAGCGCAGCACCATAATCACGGCATGTCAGAGTCCAGCAAGTACACTAGTCATTCTGAAGCATGATATCACAAAGACACAACCTCTGCAAACTCCTGTTATTGTACTTCAAAAGAAGTAGGAGTTATATTATTTGGTAGAAAGTATATTTTTCATGGTTAAGAGTATTCCCGTAGAGCTAATGAGGATGTACATTATCACCCTCTTTTGTGGGGCACATGGGGTGAAAACTGAAAAGTCGAATATTCCCACCTGCTCGAAATGCTTGACTTCATAGAGAGCGCAGGCGTAGGACTTTGTCACTGGGCTTACACGGCCGTCAGTGGTGTTGATCATGACCACCGGGTTCGGCGCTCTGCTGCTGCCGTAGTGACATTCGAGTGTGTAACTGCACAAATGTACAAATACACGGGAACACACAGAATGATACACAATTACACATGCATTCATGCACAGGCACACACGCGCACAGACAGACAGACAGACACACACACACACACCTACACCGGTCGCGTGCGCCCACACTGTACCATGTCAGTGTGTACCATCTTAGAGTACAAAACAAGTACTCGACATCTATACTCCCAGCCGGGTCGCGAGTGGACCAGTGTTCTTTTATCAAATGCGTCCAAGTACATGTACCCCAACCAGGTCGATGTCCCGGCTGACCCGGCCCTGGAGCAGACACTGGTTATACGATTACATCATCAGTTGAAATGCTTTGGAAAATTTGCGGGGCAGCGATGCACTAGCGACTCACTCTGTATCCATAGCACCCATAAGCGGTTCCGCTGACTCACCTCCACGGCATCATTCGCGTAACCTCTATACATGTAGTAAGTTTATGCAGTATAATACAAATACAAGGATGGTAAGTTCTACTATGGTAGTACTGTAAACCCATACTTACCAATGTACAAGGTTGGTAGCTCTGTGCATTGCAACGCGGCCGGAACCTTCTTTGCTTTTCATGCCGGATTCGGAGAACGCGCACTGGCCAAACTCGAAGAACGGGCTGTTCAGCGAGCATAGCTTGGGGAAGAGCTCCGACAGCGCTTGCTGGCTGGCATCGCCAAAGTGATTGCCGAACATGAAGCAGCCCTGTCGGTTGGCGTGGGCATGCAAGTCCACATACAGCACCAGTCCGCTTTGCCGTGAGATGCTAAAGTTACAACTGCACCGAGGTAACACTGGGTCGCCGTTCATCTCCTCTCCCCACGGCGCATCCGCTTTCAGATCGTCGTACGCCAATGGCAGTTTGATCGCAGACATGAGGTCAAATTTCGTGAACGCCTCACAGACCTCCTCCTCCGACATGGCCGATAGAGGACAGTTGGCCATATGGCTACCCAGGCAGTGATGATAGAGCATCAGCTGACGCACTGCGTAGATCGACGGGTGTGCGTGGCAGTGGGGCTTGATGTACACCCGGTTCAGGTTGACGCCCCGCGTGTCAGAGCGAAAGTGGCCCCGCGACACGCCGTCCGGGTTCAGCATCGGGACCAGCTTGAAGACGAAGCGCTCGCGCAGCTCCTTGGCGCGCACGTCGTCGCCTCTCAACAGAAACTCCAGCAGGCCGTTGAAGACATGGCTGCTTGGAACCTCGCCAGGGTGTACCCGTGCACTGATGAACACCACCTGTGAGTGAGGCAACCAAATGTCAGGAAACAACACGACATAACCATGCATTAACAAGCAGACAATGATACTAGAGATACGTTAAGCACACACAGAGAAGTGGTCATATAGAGCAGGTGGCTACTAAAACAGGTGGCCTCTTTGCCAGGTTGTCTCATGGCCAGGATGCATTATGTTCAACAGCTGGTGGCGTAGAATTGGGAATCTTCAAATTCTGCGATATTTCAAATGGTCTTCTCACAGTACATTGCTGTCAGCTTAGTTTTGTTTCAGATTTTTGTCATACCTTTTTATCCTTGAACCGTGCCGATGTTGGTATGCTACCATCTGGAAAGAGACCGGGCAAGCGTGGTTCCAGTTCATCTTGTTTGCCTCTCGTTGAAGACAGTGTGATAAGGTCAACCTGACGACCGTAGCTTGTATAGATCAGCGGCTCGCGGTGGAAGTAGAGATCGCTAGGTATCTGCCGTTTAAAATACAGAAACAAGCGGCTGATGTCAGCACTACAAGTGTCGGCTCACCCATAAGCTGGGCAGGCACCAGGCACATTATGCCATGCTCAATAATACACACAACAAGTCAACCATCGCCGCATTGGTGCCAGCATGTGTGTGTCAATCAGGCCCGGGTTGCTACGAGGGCCAGAATTAAGGTCACTACTAAGTACTAACACATGAGACATGGATCAAACCGTCACCAAACCACTCGCACCTAAGTTATGTATGATGTGATATAGACCAACACTAGCCGCCACACAGCCCGCCAGCAAAGCTACATTGTATGCATTGTAGCTGCTGGCCTTGCATATTCAGCCTAGCGGTAGTGGTTGTCGGCACCCGCTGTTTCTCCATCATGGTCTTACAAACTGTACATGTACATGATCCCACTACAACTTCCCACTGTTTAAAAAAAACGACACCTTTTAGGTTTTCAAGATGTCTCACCTGCTGCTTCGTTGGCTCGGCTTTACGACCTAGATGTAAAGATGTAGAGGATGAGCTGGCTAACGATGTCGTAGATGCCTGCATGCTGGCCATGTCTTGACTGGCAAGGTGTTGACCAGTGCCGGCAGTGGCCGCGTACGTACTCTCCAGTCTGAGCAGCGTCTTCTGCAGGCTATTGTAGCTGTAAGGATATGTGAAGGCAAACCAGGTGGTCTGGTTCGGCGAGCCGATCCTGAAGTCGATGCTCAGGATGAAGCGGCCCTCGTCGTCCTGTGACAACGGGCAAAGCGACACACAAAGGATGCCGCCGTTCATGTACATGCATATGTACCGTCAAACGTATAAGCAGACCTACTAAATGATGGCTGGAAGAGTGTACAGAGACCTCAAACATGACATAAAGGAAGGCAATGAACAGCTTCCCCATTACGCATGCTCTCCAGCTACTCTCGCTAACCACGCCAACAAGAGCACATAACCCCCGAGAGTGTGCAACTCCAGCCATGGGGTCTGCGACGGCAGAACTTCACATCACGTGACGAGCCCGTGCACATGTTTGCACCCTGTGCATGATAGATATAGGGCTGTGCGCAATCCTGCTTTGCCTTTGGGTTCAACTCTCTTGTGGTCACTTTCAAGCGGCACTGTTTGAGAGCGTAACCTTTTTGAACCATGCCAGGTGATGTGAAACTCTGCCATCACAGCATTATAGAGGTTGTGCAGGCAGTCGCACACTCTTGGGGGTTGTACACTATTGTCGTATTGACGCCAGCAACGGGATTCCAGGCTAGTAGGCTAGAAATTGACTCCTTCATACAACTGCTGAATTATGTGCTTGTTGGCGGTTTGAAGTATGAACAGGTCGGCTCAATATTCAGTGTGCTCTGATCTTGTGCTCGTAGCACTGTTTAAACCGTCACGCATCTTGCGGTGTGATATTGCTCCTATTCTCCTTGTGTGTGTGTGTGTGTGTGTGTGTGTGTGTGTGTGTGTGTGTGTGTGTGTGTGTGTGTGTGTGTGTGTGTGTGTTGTGTTAGTGCTGTTGTCTGTATGCATGTCATTCAGCAGTGCTGTGCATTGTACACGTGTGTCTCTTACTTTGGACAATGACGGCTTCTCTTTCAGACGACCGAACGCCTTGTAGGGGTCGTGCGTCGTCTTGAACACTGGCAGCCAGGATTGCGTGAACAGTTTCTTCTGTTTGAAGTTCATGAGGTGTATGCGTAGCGTACTGCCCGCGCTCACGCCCTTGACGGAGAAGTAGAACCAAGAGTCACTTTTGCCCTCGCGATCGCCGCCGCAGTTGTCTCTCATAGTCCAAACGTTGAACTCTGCTTTCGACGCCGTCGCTAACGCCGCTGCTGGTCGGCTGCCGGCAATGACGTCATTGGGCTCCTCCACCGCGCCGCCGCCACCAATCCTCTCCACGTTTCCCAGGTTGCCAGAGTCAAAGTCACTACTGAACACTATACCACCTTCGAAACGGAACACCTGGCGCGCTGATGCGCTACTCCCATGGCCCAGCTCTGCAGTCGTCAACACATCGGCCGACATGGATGCAGTGCAGCTAGTGTGCGCCGGCCGTCCACTCTCCGCAGTTCTAGGCGCCGATGAGTCCGTCGTCGTGACTCGTGCTGCTGTGTTTTGCACCCACACCGACACCGGCGGCGCAGTAGCAGCTGTAGCCGCAGCTAGCGACAGGGCGGGTGCTGGTGCTGCGGGCCTGCTTAGGCTACGCAGCACTGCGGTGACTGGCTCCCCGTGACCAGCAGCCGGCGTCGTCTGCGGACACTCGGCTTGATTTCCAGACACTCCCTCCGTTGATTTACATTCAGTCGGAGTACCTTTATTTCCACGACTGGGTCTGTCGCTGTTGGTGTCCTTGTACCACCTGCGGACCGACAGCGTCGCCTCAGCCCACTGTCGCCTGCAGCTCAGCTCCAAACCTCGCCACAGAGCAAACTGCCGACAAGCGTACATACGATCGTACGATAGATGGTTGCAGCGCCGGCCAGTGGGTTGCTTATCAATGAACCGCTGTTATTCGACAACCGATAGATGTCCAGTCACTAGTCAGGCACGCAACACATTGAGATGGTGTTCGCTGGAGTATTTGAGGCGTTTCTGTAGCGCCCCTGATGCCGCCGTGTGTCGCGTGCTTCGCCTTGTGGACGAAAGGCGTTTCTTTCCGACACGGCCGGCAGGATCTAGGATGAACGACTCTTTTTTTAAACGGCAGATATAGATACCCTAGCCGTAACCTCCGTCCGCAGTGACATCGTTTACACGACAAGATACATGATTGTGTACTCACAAAGCCTCAAACTCAAAGGTATTTTGGTGTTGCATTACATGTACCACCTCCAGCCAGTCCAGGCTCTACTGCAAAGTCCATTGTACAGACTGTCAGCGTCATACATGTACAGGTAGATCTACGACTCAGTCAGATCATAGACTTGTAGTCATGTAGTAAGTTGTACTCATAAAAATAATTTTAAAATAGTCATAGCTGTAGGCAACCGGTAACCGGCTATGCATCATGCACTACAGCACTCTTGCCAAGCTGGCAAGTGTCAGTTACCTGGTAACAAACGCCTAACGGATTACCGATCATGTTACTCTGACTCGGTCGACCCCCGCCCCTGACGACATGTCATCACTTCATTTTAGTACATACTGACATTACTGTACCAGGGAGTCCTGTTATCATGGTTATTGATACGACTCCCTGACATACACTGACGATCTTTCCGATCAAGCGGTCCGCCGAGAGACTGCGAGACAGGTTTCAATCAGGGAGTCGCAAATCACGCCTTCTGAGTGTACAAACACAGTACAGTTCGAGTGCGAAAAGCCTTTGATTTGCCTTTTCTGCTGTTCTGTGTTCTGTGAAATGGGGAGAGCTACAACAAAGCATAAAGACTCCTCTTGCTTGCAGTCTTGCTTTTTTGCTTTTGTTTTGGCATACGCTTGGCATAAGCATCGGTTGCAGCCATTACTATGACAACTTCCTGATTAATCACCATGGAACCGATGGCACAAAATAAATGCGTGGCATGACACGTGCAGTCATGCACGTGCACGCGTGCTCCGATCGATATCCTGTTCATTCAAAAAACAAAAATATTTTGTTGTGCAACATGAACAAGTGCTATCATTATCAGGACGAGGAAGAAAGGAAGGCTTTCCTTTTGACGCCGTACTTTAGTCTTTAGTTACTGCAGTATGTCATCGGTGGCAATAGCTTGAGGACGATGTTCCATCTTTCAAGTAGCCTGCTGCGCAGGTCGTGTGCGTTCAGCCACGTTTTGAGACACGCGTCTCGCGTGTCTGCTAAGCCTGCAAAGCTCTGTGGGCCTCCTCCTGTGCCTGGTTTCGAAATAGACGAGGAGTTCCGAATGCGTATGCTTGCGCCTGAGCTGAAAGCAAAGAAAGGCCGCTTCTACATTGTTGATCCTCCAGTTGCCAGTGAGTACTAGTAGACTGTGCTGTGGACTATGGCAATTTCACAACATCTGATGGTATTTCCCTATGGTTAATAAAAATTAATGTGGTATTAAAATAATATATTCATAGGTTGAGAATGACTTGGCAGTTTAAGCACTCTGAAAAGGTACGTTCGGGCCTGGTTTAAATCTGGCTTTGGAAATGTGTTTTTCATTGCTATCAGGGTTGGCCTCATTTTCTCTGTGCTGCGCTGATGAGTCCACAAAGGACGAAACAGTTCTGCCCGCAGATCGAGTAGGTTGAGAAATATTAAAAGTTTATGAGAGAAGTGTGTTGTAACTTGAATGCATGCAGTAAAAGAGCGGACTGCATACTACTGTGGAGATTGGATATAACAACACTCATTCGGGAGAAAGCAAAATGTCGCTATATTCGATCTGTCAGTAAACCCAATCTTCACATTTAGTATGCAATATGTACAGTAAAATGTCAGAAATGTATTGCAGATATGCATGTGCATAATATAATGCATATGCCATATGATATGGATTTCAGATGTGTATGTGCATGTGTTTTGCATGCATTGTTCAAAGCAAAGTCATCGCGTACCACTGCACTGCAGCTACAATGTGCAATGTAGAGCACGCATTGAGTGACCCAGAGGTCCGGGCACGTAGCACAGCCATGTTCCAGACATGCCTGTCTGCCTGATACAAGAGGAAAGTCGCTATATTCGATGCATTTTCACTTTTTTCCAGGTCTTCGGGCACCAAAAAATGTCAGTAAATTCGATCTGTCGTTATTTTCGAGGTCGTTATACTTCCTCCGCCCAAGCAAAATTTTCGCTTATCTTTACACTTTTTACTGATACATTCCAGGTTCTCAGAACGGCTCCTAACGACTCAGAATGAGTTGAGGAGTCGTTGAACATCAAGAGAAACTCTCTAAGTCGAAAAAATCTAGAAGTCATCCTTTGTCATCAGCTGATGCAGTACTTGTCGGGTAGTACGAGCTAGAACTTCGCACTTTCCAGAAGCGCAAATACTTCGTATTGACACTTTTCCAAGCGCTTCACCTCCTTCATGAGTACGATCGGTCGTGTTTCTTACCAGCCGAAGCGGACGAGCTCAGCGTCGCTTTGCTGGATCGTTCACGTTGACATCAGGCGAATGAGCTGGGTGAGTGACAACCCTGTCATCGAAGCCTTTCTTTTCCCCCTGTTTTGCCCAGTACCGATTCTGGTTCGTTTTTGCAGTATGTGGGCGAGCGTCGCTGAGTGGCTTTCTCAGCTTCAAGGCTTGAAGCTGACGTGCATTTTTACCGTACACACATCTTGTGCCGGATGCAATCAAACACACTGGCTTTTCGCAACATGACACCTCTGCTCTGTACTCCAGTGGTACTCTAGCAGCACCCACCTTGTCCAGTGACTGACTTCGTGTCTTTTTTACCAGTTCACTCGCGTTCAACGCGCTCTTCTCTAGGTGTTTCTTTACTCTTTGCCGACTTCGCCGACTTGTTTGGAACTGGTACGCCTGAACCAGCAGGTTTGTGTGATGGTGAAGTGCACAAGATGCAAAAATTGCTGTCAGACACCTGTCATTGGGCTGAAGGGGATAGGCGAAAATTTCGCCTGGGCGGAGGAAGTACCCGATCTATAATGTACAGGAAGCACTTGCTAAACAACTTGGGCAACAGAATCTTGTCGCTAAACTCAATTTGTCGTTACATCCAAGGTCGTTAGATCCAATCTCCACTGTACTCTGCAGCTAGCCAGTGCAGGCTGTCGTGAATTAAACGACTCGTCCGTGTTCCATTCCCATGCATAGCGCGTCGGCACAATGACAGCTATCGCAAATCACATTGTGTACGGTCGGACCTCGCTTATCCGGTCCTCTTCTATCCGGACCCCTTGCCATCCGGAAGAAAATCGTTGGTTACCGATTTCCAGCATATGCCATGCATACATACAGTATGTTTGTTCGATTATCCGGTTCCCTCGCCTATCCGGATATTTTTTTGGAAAACGGATGTGTGCGGTTAAGCGAGGTCTGACTGTATTACACGTGTTTGTTGGTGATTCCTGGTTAGCTGTTGGTTTTTCCCTACTCGAAGATGTTGCCGCCGCGAAGTCTGGGGTTTTGTGTTCGTCCTGGCGAAAACCGTATTTTGATCCGTTGAGGGAGACGGGAGATACAGTGCGAAGACGTTTGATCTGTCCGAGAATCGGCGAAGAAGAAAGCTTCGCAGACGACCCGTCGTGGAAGGGAACAGAATGGAACATATACCAGTCGATGCCTGTCATGGTAGGGATGACTGCTACGAAGTTTTAGCCCCATGCTCCCCAGCGCTTTTTAGCGCCCGACGATAATTACCAAATTTCATCGATTACCCATATGGACCAAAGCATAGTCTCCTGAATCTTCTCCAGTCGAGCTGAGTCTGGGCGCCACAATGTCGAGACGCGAAAAGACAACATGCAGCAACACACAGTAGCATCACATGCAGCTGCATTCTGCCTCGACGAAGAGAACAAAACCAGCACCACGTCAATTATTTGGAAGACATTTCGAAGAAGACGAGGAACTACATGTATCTGCGTTCAAGAAGCCCCTGTGCGGTATGCATGCGTGCATGTGCGAAGCACGGGATCCGCGGATCAACTTCGTTCAAAAATCAAGTTTTTCGATCCTCAAATCGCCATAGCGTCCTTGTCATGACTCCAAATCAGCTGAAGCTTTGCAGGAGAAATGAAAATGCCATGCTGAATCGATTGGTACCATTTTCGAAGGGTTTCCTTGAAATATAAAATTAAGCCTGCACTGGCTACTGCAGCTATGCTGCATACAAGTGTATAGACCGCTTGCCATATGATGTCATGTGTACGCGCAGGGGCGGGAAGGGTGTTCACTTAACCCTTTACCTTCTGTGTGTACATGAATCGACCGAATTTGGTCGATAGACATGCATGCACTAAAACATTCGTAACTCGATAAATTCTTGACGGAATCTCAACAACCAAATATGTAGGAAGAAGCCGAAGAGCCCAGCTTTTCATTGCAACAATCGGCGAAGAGCTGCGATGCCGCATGCCAAAGATATCGCGCTCGACATTTCACCCACGGTAAAAGTCGATTTATTTTCTGAGTGACTGGCCTTGAGCCGGGGATTTTCCCTCTCCTGACATGCTGAGTCACCTGGGCATGCTTTGAGCGCGTGGGCAGCATAAAAAGAAACTCAGGAAAACAAATTTGAAATATTTACGATGAAGGAGTGAGAAATGGCTGACGAGGAGAGAATTTTCTCGGATACCCAGCGATGGGGAGCATTTGAAGCACCCTGGCGCTGGATATGTGATCTCAGTAGTGTCCAGTTTGAGCTCATTGTACGCAGCTCGTGGAGAGCTTTCCAGAATGCCCAAGATTGTGAAAATTGGTTGATTACAACCAAAGATATTCTCAGAATGAGGTGAGAAATATCGCATTTGGAAATGCCTGGGAATTTTGGTCAGAAGGTAAAGGGTTAAAAATAAAAATAAACACTTCGAACTCATGTTGTTTTGAGAGAGAGAGAGAGAGAGAGAGAGAGAGAGAGAGAGAGAGAGAGAGAGAGAGAGAGAGAGAGAGAGAGAGAGAGAGAGAGAGAGAGAGAGAGAGAGAGAGAGAGAGAGTGAAAATGTCAGGTGTCTGATTGTCTGATTGAGCGAAAGTGACATTCCCGGGGCAAGTCTTGCTGGTCGAGCACCCGAGGACCTGAAAGTTCCGGAGTTGAAGCGCTGGCTCGCTTGTAGGAATGCCCGCAGGACGGGAAGAAGCCGGAGCTTATTCAGCGGTAAGTCCTTTTCATTTTCTGACAAAAGCTGTAGCTTGTTGGACAATTTTTCTGACATTTCTTTCGTCTGCTGACTTTACGCAGAGTGAAGAACTATGTTGCTGCAGGCCTGAGTGATGACTTGGTAGACCCTGACAATGGAGCCAATGTCGCCAGGAAGCTGGAGGATTCTGCGTCTGCACCTGCAACATGTACGACTAGTCGTGCCATACCTCGACCTCCAGCTGATGGTTGGACGACAAATTTGGCCATGGTTCCTACTGTCACCTACCCCACCATCTATCGCCATTTCGTGGGGCGCTCTGTGAAAGAGGCTCTCTTTGGGAACATTCCTGCTGCTCCGAGTGCTGAGGGGAAGGATGGTGACGATGCGATGATGTAAATGATGATGAGGATGAGAAAACCCAGATATTTCGCTGTGTGGAGTAGGGATACAAGTTTTTCTGTGATGGTCATGTGCAGAAGCTGAGGTTCCATCCACTGCCTGATTCCGATGGTCTCTGCTATGTCAGTGCCACGGTCTTGCCATCCATGGGAACATCTAGACAATATACGGTCAACCTGCGCCTCACTGACAGCCTAGCTGAAGCTGTTGTTCGGTCTGCCACGTGCGTTTGTGTTGCTGGATTAGCAGGGTGCTGTAACCATGTTGCAGCAACCCTCTATGCCCTGGAGGACTTTGTCCGAAAGGGCTTTCGGGAGGAAGCAGCAAAACCGTGGACCAGCAAACTCCAGGCTTGGAACCAACCCCGCAAGCGGAATGTGCCCCCAATGCCGGTGACGGCTGTGTCCTTGACAAAGGATGAGTAAGGGAAGGAGAAGCGACTCAAGGTTCAGCGCTTTGTCGATCCAAGACCACCACACCTCCGCGCACCAAACCCTGCTGAGAATGATGCCCTCCTGGCAGCACTGGAGGAAGAGCACCAAGCCATGCTGTCAAGCGACGCTGACGGGTTTGTCAAGCTATATGGCTCCAGTTGCTGGCTCAACCTAATGAGGAGGGATGAACCCACTTCTATGTGTGAGAATTGTGACTGCGTCAGTGAGGATGATGACGAAGGGCAGGTTGCTGAGAGCTCTTCAGCAGCATCTACCGTCCCAGTCACACTGGATATGCAAGTGGGCCGTCATGCATCACGAGACGACTTTTACAAGCATGAAGTGTGTGTGTCTGAAAGCCAACGAGCCAA